AATATATAGACAATTTTTACCTGCCATGATCCCGACATCTTCTGGAAGGTTCCGGTAAACTGGTGTTGCAGACCACACAAAGTAACCACCAGGTCGCAATAACCGGTTCAGCTCCAACAAAAGCATACCACCTGCATGTTAACACCTCAAAAATCCAGAAGTCATGCAAAAATAAAGAAAAGTAGTTTTCAACAGAAATTACCCTCAATGTGCCAGGGGACCCTACAACGAGCACAATGAATAACATCATACACCCTGCTAGGGAAGGGGAGCCTTTGGGTGCCCATCACTGCTGATATAGCGGGAATCCCTCTTTCAAGAGCAAATTGTACCTGAGCTTCATGCTCATCTTTGGGAGCAAAGGACATGGTAAGCACATCCCTGTCAAAGAGAAAGCCTCCAAAGCTAGCAACTCCGCAGCCAACATCCAAAACAACACGGCTTCTTTTCCCCCATGCTATATCAGGCAATCCCTGCAAGAACAAGAAAACCACTAGAGCGATTTCAACCAAGCAAAGAAGTGGAAATGAGTAATCAAATTTTTCTCTAAGCAACTGTCTTTTTATACATGGGGAAACTATCTAACATAAATAAACAACGCCGATAAATGACAAAAACTGAAAAGGTAAACCCCTTAAACAAGAGGAAATTACATAAGGAGATTACGAAAAGAATTATATGGTCATTTAGAATCAAAATAGAAGTAATAAGTAGTTTGAAACAAACCTCTTGAATTTTATCAATGTAGTGGAGTGCGCCATGTTTGAACTGAGTTCCGCCCCCCGGAAAAGTGAGGTACTCTCCACTAACTTTCACCCAATTCTGGTGACCCTTATATTCTACAAGCTTGGTATGAGGAACATTGTGGTACCAAACCTGCATTATATTGAACAAGGGGTGGAATAAGAGATCAAAATAATATCAATCATAGATCGTTATGCAAACCATGAAGTTGTAAACACATACCTTGTTTCGGCTATTAGGCCACTTAATTGGTCGTTGGTATCCCTCTGGAAGAGGTACAAGGCATGTTGGGCCTTCCTCAGGGCAGTGCCGTTCTCGGTGTTCATAATGCTTAGTACTCCGAAGTTTCCTGACAGCTTCTACATTGTCCAGACAAGGAATATAATCTGCCCCAGCTTCTGCTTTACAAAGTTTCCAGCTGTATTCAGCAATTTGACCTTTTGACGAAGACTGCTGTACTTCCTTCTCGTTCTTGGACTCAGAAGCTTGCGTTTTCCATGCCCCATTTGAGCTATTCGTCTCTTTTAAAATCTCTGATTGGGCTCCATCGGGAAACACTTCTTCCTTAGCTTGACTCCCAGTTTGGGTCTCGCCAGTCTTCTCGTCTGTCTCACCTTGACCCTTCTCCTCCAGCGTCATGTTCTCTTCAGATTTTTCCTCCTGTTCCAGTTTCTTTTCTTCGGTGCCTTGTTCTTCACCATTTGGAGTTCCTTCAGAATTCTGCTCCAAATTCATATCTTGCCCATTTGTCTCACCGCCCTCTGTGTTTGTGTCTCTGCCTTCACTATTCCCATCTGCATTCTGAGAATTCTGACTAGTCTGCGACTCACCTGAGTCATCCTTCTTGTGTTCAGTGACAGTAGGGGAACTCTCCTCCTGGGTCTTTTCCTCAGATTTTTCATTTGTATTCTCAGATACATTCTGGTCTACATGGTTGCTATTATTATCTCCTGCAGTAGAATCCTCTTTGGCATCTCCTAACTTGTCTTCAGATGTCTTAGAGACATCAACAGGAACTTGTTCATTCATTTCTGATTTATTACTTTCGGCCGGAGCCAAATCCACAGGCACTACCGTAGTCGATGTCATCATCCAAACTCCGACCAGGCAAAGAGAGACAAACATGACAATGGTCGCCGTCGAGCACCAGGACGACGATGTCCTGTCCATCCTCGGACTTCTGCCTATTGCCATTCCCTTGTATATATATTAAAACGCCTTCAGCAGTATATCTGAAATTTTTCAGACAGCACAAAAAGAAACAAATAATTAATTCAGGCCAGTCTTCTCCTGAACTATAATTGAAAACCTAGGGCTAAATTGCCAAAAAAAATGTCCCTAACTTGTCACAGAATTTTACATAAACTGCATAAACAAGTAAATAAATAAATAAATCTCTAAACATTTAGGACACTATACAAACTAAATTGCTAGATCTGTGACTAGTTCACTTCATGCTTAATTCCAGTGAGCTTCTAGATTCTAATTAACTAGAAAGGGCAGATCCTTTTCTTGTTACAATCACAACAGCTGAAATAAAAGTAAATAACGAGAAAATTACTGTCAGTGACAACAAAATCGGTTACTTCCAATTTCTCAGAGTTCAAAAAATAGAACAGACACTAGATGATTACCTGCAAACAAACAGTTAGAGATCTATCCTCTAAAGTATATATAAAAAAACAGCGTCAGATCTGGATCTTTCATCGGAAAAACTTCAGAAAAATCACTAAAAAGACAACTCGAAGAGATCGAAATCAAGAAGAAGCAAAGAATCGATGAGATTGTTACCTTGTCTGAGCTGGAGCAAGCTCAGATAGAGATCTGAAGTGAAGCAAGAAGACGAAGGGTTTGGCCCCCAAACCCGCTACTGAAAGAGACAGAGAGAGAATTTGGAGAGCGAATCGAGGGGAGTATTTATATAATACTTCTTACGCTGTTTTTTTAATTAATTAATACATAAATGAAATTCTTATTTTATCCGTGGCGGGGAACGGAGAACGGGCCTAAGTAACGGTGTTAGAATGGTTTGGCTACGGACCGTCGTTATATCGGATGTTGGGGGGTTGGGGGTTCTCATGTTCGGATGTTCCTCCGGATCAGTTTTTTTATGAGAAAGGAGAAGGATTTTCTAATGACGTCAGCGGAATTTATGGGGTTGATTGTGTTTATTGGTAGGTTCTGGTTAAGATAATTAGTGATGAAGGAATAATGGGATAATTTCTACTTTAAGCGGTGACACTGAACGCGGAGGGTATAAAGGACAGAAGATCTTATTAATGGGTTTCAAATGACTATGGCGCTCCCCTCTCTGGACACAAGTATTATCGGATAATTCTAAAACACTAGTGTAGAGGCACATGCGTTGCACGTGTGCGCTCCCCTTAATAGCACCAAACTAAACTGAATAAGTACATAACTCTCCAATAGGCACTTCTCTACGCATCAGTTATGTGAGGATGAAGAGAAAGCAAAGGAACTAATGCAGGTAGAGGAATGAAATGGTTGAGAAAAGGTTAGAATCAAAAGTAGTAAGCTACACTAAAATCCTTGCTCTATATTACATAGAGTAGATTGCATACAGTATATCTACAGAGACAATGGAGATATATGTGCAAGTCCTATATAAAATAGAGCAGAGCAGCACACAGTATATTTATATCCACTGAGACAATAGAGATATAAGTGCAAGTCCTATATAAAATAGAGCACAGCAGCACAAAGTATAGTTATGGAGATTACACAGTGTGTTTACAGAGATTTATAGAGATTACACACAATATATTTACAAAGATTATAGTATGTCACTTCTTGTGGCTATTTTGCAACCACCTGACATATAAGATCCATATTTGAGAATATGGATCAGTAAAAGAGTTTAAATACACTACCCAAAAGTTTGTAATACACTGCCAAAAATTTCGTCAAAGAAACACAAATTTACATCTCTTTTAGCTCATCCACGATGGTAGTAGCCATGTAGTAGTGCATAGTCTTATGTCGTCCTTCAAACTTGTGACCTTTGACTTGGACGAAATACTCTTTGTCGTTTAATTTGAACATTTGTTAAGAGATTCTGTATCCATTTACCTTCCTATTCTAATACAAAATAGGCTGATTTTGCCTCTTTATCGTCGATATATAGGGTTTGAGGCATGACTGATATGATTTTTATAAAAAATTTATCGCGCATAGTTCTTAGCCTACTTGTCCCGATATATATATGTAAATCTGATAAAGCGGCCGATTTTTCGTGGGTTAAAAATCGCCTGATTTTCTACAATTTGTATCCTAAGTGAACCTATTTGGGTTTGGAGACAAAAACCCTCTTTTTTCCATACTCGACCTCATCTACTAAACAAAAAGTATGCTATCTTATTCTATTTCGCATCCGTTCATTGTGTAACTCTAATTCTCTTCGCCTCTATTGTTCTATCCCCCAAATCGGTCCCAAATTTCTTACTTGAAGATCTCTGTCGATGACCTCTCTCGAAGAACATCTCTCAATGTTTTATTAAACATGCTTAGCTTATATTTTAGGATATTATATAATATATGATCACTATCGGATACAACACTGTGATTTTTACTACTTATCCCCGATATATTCCCGATAATCGGTAATTAATATGAATTTTGGTCATCCGATGTATTTCCGGCAACCGATATTTAAAACCTTGAGTGCACTTCAAAAGTTTAGGGGGTTATCTCAACAACAACCAAACTTTAGGGCTGTTTCGTGAAATTAACCCAAATCTTTAGTTTAGAGTATAGACAGGATGTTAGACCTAAAATGAGTATAGGGTACCTCTAGAAATGATTTATCTCAGATTCCAAGCTGAGAGCATTGAATTGTAGGCTGATTCTCCTGTGCTTAGTTTTTTTGTTGTCTGATGAAAAAATTTTACTTCGGTGTGCAGAAAACTGTCAGAAATGGTCTGCATTGGAGGGGTATTTGCTTTGATATTTGAAATCCTCCTTAGGTTGGTAAGTAGTTTTGGTGCTTCCTGTGGTGAATCCGTTATAGTCCCTTTTATATTTTTGGTTGTGAGAAATCTGACATACTCTATATGCTATGATTGGAATCCGTACATGACATATCCTTTTTGCTATTTTGAGTCCTCTTGGTTAAATATTCAGGCATAGGTTATCTCTAATATGTCTTCATAAAACTAAATCTTTTATTTAAGGCACACAATCACACTTAGGTTACTTGATTATTCTATTCAAAAGTCCAGACATATTTGCATTAATGTCTGGTTTTTCTATTTATGTTGAATCCTTTTTGCAAAGTCTGGAAAATTACTAAACCCTGTACCAAAGTTGAAGATTGCATAAAATGCCACCATGGATGATTATCAACCTGAACTTCACTCTTTCTTTTTACAATCTTATGTACATTGAGTTATGCTGATACTTTCCTCTCAATCGTATGCACATATAAGTAATAATTTACTGAATACATGAATATGGTTAAACTGGTTGATGAAGAATAAGTTGGAGAATCCCTCTTCTAGGTAGTAACTCTGAAATACTTTGAGCAATATTTTAAGAATATCTGGGTTAGATGCTAATTTATGTTCATAGAAAATGACCTGATAAAAAAAACATCGAACTACCGCAAGATCCCGTCAGCTGTTTTAGCTTGTTTCTATCATCTATTTCTCTCTCTGTCTTATTCTTTATCAGTTAAGTGGATTTCTTTCCATGATGCATATTTTCTTTGACTTGTTTCTATTTGTCTTCCTCAATATATTTGTTATCTTGCCCATGACTCCATATACTTCTTTTCTTTCTTGTTCTATACTGGAATCCTTAAAGAAAAACAAATAAAATTGCCCTTTTCTTTTGTTTTCCATTTTTGCTTATTTTAGCTAGAATAGAGCATGGTCTGGCATGCTACTGGGCAATCTTGTTCGTATTCTGGTTTCTTGTTTTTGGAATCTGCGCTTCTCTCAGGCCCATGGCCACTAGAATTTGAGAAAAATCCCTGTTTCCAGTAAAGCAATGGCCATTCTAATTCAAAGTTTTTACTAAGGTGATGGTTCGATCTTTTGCTGAAAGTTATGGTTTCCTTAATTCATGAATTTTCACTCTTAAGCAGTAGTTGTATACGTGAGAACTCTGCATTAAAGACACCTGGACACCTAAAATTGAACGTGTACCTCTGGTAGTTCATATATTGTGCAGTGGCGAGAAAAATGTTAATATTTGTGGTTGAAACTTGTGAAATAGTGTTTTTAAGGGGCCTATACTTAGATACAATAAAATATGTTGAGCGCCTTTGCTGAAGCGTGCTTGCACACTAAACGAGTCCGTAAGCCAAGGGAGAAGATTAACAAACCAAACACGAGCACAATCCAAACAAATACGACAAACCAATCGCAAACACAGAGATATACGTGGTTCGGCAATTTGTCTAGCTACGTCCATAGAGAGAGAATAGGTTCACTATATCGAGGAGAGTACAAAAAAGGGTTACAATCACTTAAACACTTGAACAAACCCTAACCAATGATCTCTCAACTCGCTCACAAGTTCTCCCTCTCAAAGTGCTCAAAATACTCTCCATTCTCTGATAAACAAAACCCTAAAATCGTGTTTCTATTTATATTAAACAACAAACCCAAACAGAACATAAAACTAAAACCAGACCCAAACCCGACGTGCGGTCGACCGCCAAATCTTCGTGGTCGACCGACCAGAACATAGAAAAATCACCTTAGAGTTTACAGGGTCCGTGGTCGACCGCACCATTGGTCGCGGTCGACCGGACAGAAATCCAGAAACTACATTATACTCGTGCATGTTTCCGGTCGACCGCACCCTTGGTCGCGGTCGACCAGACAGAACCAAAAATTACCGACTGTATTTTCTTGAATATTGTTGTTTTCTCTTCAAAATATAGGTTCCATGTATCAGACATCTATCTCTTTAAATATTCTAACACTATCATCCTTTTCTTTTGGTGGTTCAAGTGATTTCTTTAATGTTGCATATGGAGTCTTCGACATCAACTCTCGATCTTCAACTGTCTTCGGTGAAAGATCAGCAGAAAGCTTCAAATGGGCTCCCAATGGTACACTAACTGGCTTTGTATCCATAGTAACATGAAATCGTTGTAGAACCTTCTTCAAATAAGCCACATGTGTCAAACAAATTCTGTCCTTCTTCTTGTCTCTGTCGATCTCCACCCCTAAAATGCGCTTCGCCTCACCCAAATCCTTCATCTCAAACTCCTTTGAAAGTTGTGCCTTCAACTCATCTATAGCAGATCTGGAAATAAAGACAACAAACATGTCATCGACATAAAGTAACAAATAGATGTACGCACCTCCTCTCAACTTACAAAAATATACACAAGGATCAAACTGACTCCGAGTGTACGAATGACCAATCATAAAACCATCGAATCGTCTATACTATTGTCGAGGAGACTGCTTCAAACCGTATAGCGATTTCTTCAACCTGCAAACCAACTTATATTTTCCTGCAGCTCGGAATCCCAATGGCTGAGTCATATATTTTCTTCATTAAGATCACCATGAAGAAATGTCTTCTTCACATCTAACTGATCTAACTCTAAACCATACTGCGCCACCAAAGCTAGCAAAATCCGAATCGAAGAGTGCTTCACCACCGGAGAGAAAACCTCATTATAGTCAATACCTTCCTCCTGTACATGCCCTTCGCAACCAACCTAGCTTTGAACCTCAATGGAGTGCCCTCAATGCCCTCCTTCTTTGTGTATACCTACTTGCAACCAATTGTCTTCCGCCCCTTTGGAAGCTCAACAAGCTCTCACGTATCATTCTTGTGAAGAGACTCCATCTTCTCCTGCATAGCTACCTGCCACGAATTAGCCTCCGAACTCTGCTCGGCCTCTCTGAATATAGTAGGCACCATCTCATCGATACTCTC